GGGAGGTGTCTGTCCGTGTGGGTTTATGTGATTTTAAAACATTGTAATATATGGGCTCCTCACCCCATTCCCCACTGAGCACTCAACCACTCCGTGAATGGCAGAGATTTTGCATGCAGTAGAGGTTAAAAGTCTGGAGAGAACCAGCCAGTGCCTGGAGACCTAGAGAATAACCTGGATTGTTGATGATAAATGTGCCCGGCTTGGGGCATTTTCTCCCTCACCCCTGCCACCCACCCTCCCTTCTCATCCTGTGTCAACCAGCCCCAGCTCTGCTCAGACATTTACCCTCCCCATCCTGCTGACTCCGGGGGTCCAGGCCTGGAGACAGAAGCCATCAGTGAGATTGTCAGGACCCAACCTGTGACCCCTGCAGCTGAGATCTCCACCCTGGGTTCCCTGACACACACCAGCGGGTGTGTGTCTCATGCATGGGAAAGGCAGAGCCTGAGCCCTGCTGTAGCTGTACTGTCCCTCTGCACCCAGTACCCCCAGCTCAGCCCCAAATCGGAGACTGGGTTCTGATCTGGCTTAGCTATTAGTGAGCTGCATGATGCCACGTTGGTCACTTATCCTCTCTGAGCAAGGAGAATGTGCGTCTCCTGGGCCTCAGGTGGAGGCACCTACCAGTAGGGGTTTAGCCCAGGAACAGCTCCTGCCTGCTACCTCCCCATGGCATGGGCACTGCCAGTTAGTGAAGTTTTTCGATATGTGTTTTCACAGGCAACCTTCACTACAGTGCTTTGGAATGGCCAGGCCAGGGAATGCTAATCCTTTTCTGTAGGGGGTAAACTGACGCTGATGACCTTCCCAAGGCCATCTGTGCAGAAGGGAGAGTGTGACCCAGGCCTCCTGTTTGCCCACTCAGGCCAGGCCTCGGGGTCAGGTTCAGAGTGAAGCCAGCAGAACTGCTAGCGTCTTCTGTCCAGGGAGGGTTGAGCTGCTGCCCCCGCTAAAGGAATGCACTGTAGATTCTTTATGTTCATATGGAGGTCCTTCTTGCACTTCCAAGGCCCCTCTCTCTCCTGCCCATTCTAGTGGTGTTTTTGCTTCCGGCACCTGTTACACAAGTGTGCCTGGCCACAGCAGGCACTGCCCAGGTCCTGGAGGGATACCCGTGGGCTGACAAGGTGCTGTGAAGCAGGGACACCAGGGAGGGTTGGCTGCAGCCTGTGCAGTCTGGGATGCTGTCGTAGGGAGACAGAAACACAATATTCATTCACAGCAGCTGCGACTTTAGCAAGCAAAGTGTAGCTGAAAGTAAGGACAGCTTTGCTAAGGTCTGTCCGAAGGAGAGCCTGACTGAGAAAGGCAGTGGTGAGCTCCCTGTCCTTGCGGGTACATGAGTCAAGGTTGGATGTGGAGTTGATTGGGATGGGTGGACCTGGCTGAAAGAGCCAAGCAACAGATGGTTCCTCCTTCCTGCCCCCAGGCTCCATCCACAGCTGACCCTCCTTGAAGTAAACATGCCTTCAGAAGAAAAGATTTGCTGAAGGGGCACCCATAAGTGTGAGCAGACTCCCCTTGAGGGTCTTGAGACACTGCATTGTTAGCCCCCAGCTCAGGCTAGGGAGATGGACATGTCTACAAGCAAGCTTCGAGGCCCAAGGGTGGACAGCCACACAGCTCCAGCAGTCCCCTGGGCAGGAGGAGCAGCCTTCTTGGGATGTGTGGGCCCCACTGGGTGAGTCTTCAAGGGCTGGCTACAGTTTAGCTGCCTGGGCCCACCTTGAGTTCTTCTGTTAGACAGAAGCATGGAAAATGTACATAGGAATTTTTCCTGCCAATGGCAGAGGCCAGAGCCAGCCCCCAGGGGATCCCTTTTGCAGTGCTTGATACCCTGTGAAGGTTGGGCAGAGCCAGTGAGAAACATCCCTGGGTTGCCAAGGATGCAGAAGACGGAGGGTTGTGGCTCCAAGTCCTTCCATCACCTGGGGGACTCCTGATGTCTCTTGATGTCCCAGGTCTTCATATGTAGAAGGAGATGGTGTGTTTTGGATGTAAACCCCCATCCGTAGTCTGCAGGGTCCCTGGCATCAGACCTCCTGGCATTGCTGCCCAGCTCTGCCCCTTCCTAATGTGTAGCCCTGGACTAGTGATTTAAATGCTTTTGGTCTTAGTGCCTTAGTAACGGAACCCAGCTCATGGGATTCCCAAAGCCGGTGTTCTCTGGGGACATGCCGTCTTGGGCAGCTGCTAGATGCTGTGCCAGCTGTTAGCTCAGGGTAGCTTGTGGTGCCAACGACCTCCCTGTGCTGTCTTTGCTTGTTGCTGGATCTTGGCGAAGCAGGGATTCGGCCCCTTGGGGTTACCGGGGACCCACAGGTTGCAGGTTTGAGGAGTTGTGCATTGTCCACAGGTGCTCGCATTCCTGTTGATCAGCCATGTGGCTAAAAGTGGACTCAAAATAGCCCTTTTCTCTCAATGGATACACTGAATTTTTCCAAATGGACTAACTGGTTTGTTTTTTTTAAGGCTATAAATACTTACAAAGCAGTTTGGCTCTAACTACTTAATGGCTTCCTAACTATACAGAATTTCCTTTTGGCCTTGGAATACTATGAACAAATGAGACATTGAAGACCATGAAAGGACAGGCAGATCTTCTTTGGGTTATGCCCAGCCTCCATGAGTTACACTCCTCCTCTGAGCCATGCCTAGCAGACTAAGCACTCAGGAGCCTCAAGGCTCCATTATCCTCCCTCCGTGGGCTTGGCTTAACCCTCCCTTATTTGGACCTGTTGCCTTTCTCTGCCACTGAGGCCCAGATTAGAATCAAGAAGTCCAAGGAGGTGACCCAACTGCTTTCCAGAGACCCGAGACACACCTCTCTCTCCCCCACATACACACCCCTTGTCTCATTTGCATTGTTGCATACCTACTGTGTGCCAGCCAGTACTGCATGCCCCTGTAGCCCCTCTAGGCTGGCCGTAAGCCCCTCCTCCTCATCCCCTGGCAGTGTCTGCCTCTAGACTGCCTGGATTGTGGGACATTGGCAAGGGACAGTAGCTGTGTCAGGAGCTGTCTGGTGCCATAATAGCAGGCTCTGAAGAGGACACCCCAGAGAGGAGCAGTGGGGTGGGGGTTGCCGGACGCAGGCCCACAGCACTAATGGATGTCTAATGTTTGCTTTCCTCAGCCGTGTCTACGCCTGCTTTATAAATGAGCCGCATTAAGGTTGTAAAACAAAGCCATAAATACAGCCTGTAATGCTGCAGAGAACCAGGACAGTCAGCACTGGGGGGTCGGGGCAGCATGCTTAGAAGGTAGGAGTGAGTGTGGAACCTGCAACCACAGGTTCCCTTGTATCTGGGAGGAAGCCTGTTCTGCCCATTTCATTAGATGAGCTGTCTGAGGCCAGCATGGGCTGCTTACCACCCCTCCAGGCTCAAGGGGCTTGAGGTGCTGGTATGGCAATGCCCAGAGCCTGGCAGGCTCTTTGGTGTCCAGCCGTTCCCAGGCTCCATCCTGTTCTCACCTGAGCTACTTGCCCTGGTGGGGAAGCAGGGACGTTTTCCCAGGGTAGACCCAGCTCATAGGGCCCTGATGAAGTCCTTGCATCCTATCCCAGCACTCCTCACCTTCCATACTCTAGGGCCTGCTATGTGCCCAGGAAGATGATACCAGCTTGTCAAAGGAGCCATCCCTTGGTGCCAGGGGAGCTGTGCACCAGCCAAGTGGCCTTGAGCAAACCACAGTGCTGATGGATGGTAGGTGTTCAGCCTCCCCAGCTTTGTAGCCAGGAGGAGCCCTGTGCCGTAAGAGCACCCGCCACAGTTGAGTTCTGTCCTGTGTCTGGTGCAGAGCCCTGGGCCCCTTCCACTGATGTTGGTACTTGGTTGAGACCATGACTGTATCTCCTGCTAACTTTTGGACAAGTTGTTTAACCTCCCTGTGTCCCAGGCTCTCCATCTGTAAACAGGGCTAGGACAGACCTCACAGAGTTATTGTACTGCCAGGTCAACATTGGGTACTATTTCAGGGCAGCAATGTGTACCTACTGCGTGTTAGTCACCCTCTCTCTTACATACACACAGCCCAGGGCCTGAGAGCCTTGAACCAGCACTCTATAGCCAATCCCTGTGTCTTCTTCCACAGCCACCCAGTTCCCAGCGGGCTTTTGTGGCCAGGCATGCTTTGGTCAGCTTGCTCTTAGAAAGCTGGGTATACCTCCAGGCCCTTGCAGGGCCCAGCCCCTCTGGGTGGGGTGGGGGGCGGGGAGACTGGGCAGACTCCCAGCTTCGTTCATTGTTTCCCAGAGCAGTTAGCAGAGGAGCCCCTGCTGCTCTCATCCCGAGCCACCTGATTGTTGGGCATTTGTCGTTGGAAAGCCAATTTTCCTAAGTGGGTTGTAAGCCAATCGCTTGGCCTGGCCTGGTTTCCCTCCCTTCCTGTTTGTCTCACCTCCTGAGGCGCTGTTCTTTCCAGGGAGTGGGGCCCTGTGGGGAAAGAGATTCTGGTTCCCTCTTCCAGGGTTGCAGAGCTGAGGGTGCGGGGCTGACGCCTGGGGTACAAGTTGAGCCTCAGGGTGCCCTGGGTAGAACAGGAGGAGGCCCATGGGTGACAGAGATACTGAGCGCAGCAGAGCCCAGGCCTTGTGCAGCAGCCCCCAGCCCACCCCATCCCCTGCAGCCCTGGCTGTCTCCTTGTGTCTGTCAGCCCGGCTGGCTGGAACTGCAGAGGGCAGCTGTGGCTCAGGGGCAGAGCTGCCCTGGTTTGGGTTACAGCCCCAGTACATATCCAACTCCACCGCATATCACGGCATCTCCATGGGAAACAGGCCCGCAGCCAGGCAGGGCTGGTGCAGGGGGTGCTGGGATGTCCCGCTGACAATCACTCAATGTCACAGGGCAGAGGTGGGCAGGATGGGAGACTGAGGTACAGCTGTGCAGGCCTAGCCCAGCTCTAGCAGGTCCCCAGGTTTCTAGCTGCCCACCCCTGCCTCCCTGCACCCTCATTCTTCCTGCAGGGTTCCTCATGGTACTGTCTCCCTCCCACAGGCACTGACTCTGGCAGCGAGGTGCTCCCTGACTCCTTCCCGTCAGCACCGGCCGAGCCCTTGCCCCACTTCCTGCAGGAGCCACAGGACGCCTACATCGTTAAGAACAAGCCTGTGGAGCTGCGCTGCCGCGCCTTCCCCGCCACACAGATCTACTTCAAGTGCAATGGAGAGTGGGTCAGCCAGAACGACCATGTCACGCAGGAAGGCGTGGATGAGGCTACTGGTGAGCCCAATGCCCATCTGGGGACTGCCCAAGCCAACAGGTAGCTTTGTGCCTGGCTCACACACCTGGGCGGGGGACCTCTGTGGGAGGTCTTGGGAAACTCCCTCTTTTTCTCTCTCTTTGTCCAATAAAGAGAATAAAATAGATTTGCAGCCCCGTTCCCACTCAAAATCTAAATATGAAAGAAGTTTTTCAAAAGCACAAAGTAGCAACATGAAGCCTCCCAAACTGGCCAACGGGTGACCCTGGGACAAGTCATGGCACCTCCCTGAGCCCCGTGCCCAGCTTTGTGTCCTGGGGGTTGGTGACAGAAAGCCTTGGGGCGTTCAGGCAAGATGACGCTGGGCAGAGTGCCAGCCTCCAGCAGGCGCTCATGCCCCTTGCCTCTGGCCCCTTCCTGGGTCTTTCTTGACTTCCCTTTGCGATCCCCAAACATCCCTGGCCCATCTCTGAAGTCAGCTCTAGGGTCTAGGCTAACCAAGATACCAGGATGCCTCGCAGGCCCTTGCATGGGATTAGTGATAACAGTGATCCTGTGGTCTTGCTCCCCAGCTCCGTCAGGCACTGCCTGCCCCCAAAGTGGATACTACCACCACCCTGTTAAGCTCAAGTGACAAGCTGGGGTCAGGTAGGGCACTGCCTGGCAGTAGTGGGGCCTGGTTTTATTCCAACTCCTGCTCTCCACCTCGGTCTCCATGTGCTATGTGTGGCCCCTGAGGACACGGGACAGCTGAGGACCCTGACAGGAGCACCTACTACCAGAGCAGGGCAGGCAGCCAGCCAGTGTTGGGATTGTGGCCCAGACCCCACCTGCTTCTTGGGCACACACTTGGACGGGCAGCCTGGTGCTGGAGCCTGAATCTGGGAGACCAGAGGCTCCATGCCAGCTTCTCTTCCCCCTGGCATGGGGTGACTTCTAAGTGGCCCCGAGTAATTGTTTCCTCTGTCAGCCACCCTCTCTGGGCCTCAGGAAGGGAGTGGCTGGGGTCTAGCCTGGATGCTGGCTGCCACGGCAGAGCAGTCACCATGACCCTGAGGATGAGTAGCTTAATACGGGTCACTCAGCTGGAGGACAGGAGTGCAGCCAGACTCCTCTGTCCCACTATCTAGCAGCCATTCCCCAGTCCGCTCCTGCCCTGGGGCAAGGCAGATAGCACCTTTAGGAATCCTGAGGCTGGAGGCCTCCGTAGACGCTTCCTGGGAGAGGGAGCTTTGGGGAGGCCTGTCGGATTAGTGCCCTAATCCTGGCAGACTGGCTCCTTTCCTGTGCATTGAGGATTTTGTCTAGGGAGGGTGGGCAGAAGAGCAAGATCCGCTGTCTGTGTAGGCTGGAAGACCCCGTACTCCCTCAGCTCCAGCCCCACGGGCTCTGAGCTATGGCCAGGGCCGGGAATCATGGGCAGGCCGCTACCTCAGCCCCTACCATCAAGTGCATGTTGGGCTCCTTCCTGCAGCGACAAGAACACAGCCTCATCTGGTTTCTGCAGGAGAGAGCCGGGTAGCACACCCACAAGGCCTGGCAGGTGCTGTGTGGGCAGCAGTTGGGACAGGCGCCGGTATGCCATGCTGGGTAGGATGCTGGGAGCAGGCAGGACCGGACAGGGGATTAGTGGTGGGGCTTCCTTCCAGACATGAAGTTGAGCCCGAAGCCAGCAGTCACTGGGGACCCCTGGGCACAGAGGTGGGTAGAATTGCAGGCAGGGGGCCTGTGTGAGCCATTGCTGAGTCCCAGTGAGGGGCAGTGGTGGCAGAGATGAGACTGGGAGGGACCCTGGAGAATGAGAAGCATCAGGGTGGGGTGCCCAGTGCCCTGAACCCCCTGCTCCCCCTCCCATCACCCCTGACAGCTTCTTTCCTTCTGCCAGGCCTGCGGGTGCGAGAGGTGCAGATCGAGGTGTCACGGCAGCAGGTGGAAGAGCTCTTCGGCCTGGAAGATTACTGGTGCCAGTGTGTGGCCTGGAGCTCCTCGGGCACCACTAAGAGCCATCGCGCCTATGTCCGCATTGCCTGTACGCCTCCCAGGATCCTGGGCCCATCCCCCCTCTAGCCCTGGGCCTTGCCCCCTCTATGGGAGCTGTGCTCCCAGCACCCCTGACTGCAGGTGCTGCTACAGAGATCGTCCAAGAACAGCTCAGTTCCTTGGTCACAGAGTGTCCCTTGCTACCTGCTTCCGCTTTATGTACTGAGGGTACTGGGGTCAGGGAAGGAGCCCTGAGCTCCAGCTCCATCACTTGGGGAACCCCACTAAAGAAATTCCCTCTGGGAATCCTCACCAGCAGATCCCCTGTCCTGCACTTCCCCCTAGTGGCCACAGTGAGGCACTTGCATTTCCCATCCTGCCTCACCTGACTTAGGACTAAGGACTCCCCTTCTCTGTCTTCTCCCAGATCTGCGCAAGAACTTCGACCAGGAGCCTCTGGGCAAGGAGGTGCCTCTGGACCACCAGGTGCTGCTGCAGTGCCGCCCGCCAGAGGGTGTGCCTGTAGCCGAGGTGAGAGGCAACAGCCAGGCAGGATTCTTTGGCACCTGGGATGGAGAGGGAGGTGGCACCTCAGGCTGAGTGCTCCTCCAAAGAACCCCACGAAGCTCAGGCAAGAACCTGGAGCTCCTTAAGCAGGTTTCAGGCTCAGCCTCGGTGTCCCCAGAGCCCCATGGTGTCCAGCTGTGATCTTACCATGCCCTGATAGATGTGTGTACAGGAGGGTACTCATCCACGTGCTGATGCTAGTAGCCCCCTGTCACAGGGCCCCTGGGTCACTGGACAGTACCCACCTGTCCCCTGCCACCCTTGTTCTAATCCCAGACATGCCTTCTTCCCATGCACACCATAGTTTAGGAATTAGAGCTGGGCTTAAGGAATCCCCCTAATTTCCCCATGGGACATTGGGAAGAATGGGTTCCCAGCTCTGGATCAACCCTGACCCCCAAACCTAGAGGGAACCACCTGACTTCCTTGGCCTTTGTCCCTCCTGCACCCTCCCTGTGTGATAGCCATCACTCCCAGTGGCCCCACAAATGGCTATTGTCTCCCATGAGTGACAGAGCTGGAGTTTGGGCCCAGGGCCCAGTCTTGATCTCCTGTTGGGCTACTGAGCAAGGAGGAAGATGGGACAGGCGCCACCAGCTGGTATAGCTCAGTACCTACCCTACCCAGGTGCTGTGCTCAGTGCTTTGCATGCTCTGGCTCAGGGATCCTCCTGGCAGTCCTGCAAGGCAGGTGCTGTTCTGCTCCTATCTTACTGGTGGTAAAATTGAGGACCTGAAGGGTGTGCTCCACTCAGGATCACCCAGAGCTTTTCACGGACCACAAGGGTGCACCTGTCTTGACACTCACAGACCTCCCCTGCCCCCCTCTGGAGTCAGCTGCCTCCCCCCTGCAAGACCCAACCACTGTGGCTCACAGCTCCAAACCTCGCTCCTGCAGGTAGAATGGCTCAAGAATGAGGACGTCATCGACCCCAGCCAGGACACCAACTTCCTGATCACCATCGAGCACAACCTCATCATCCGTCAGGCCCGTCTGCTGGACACAGCCAACTATACCTGCGTGGCCAAGAACATCGTGGCCAAGCGCCGGAGCACCACAGCCACCATCATCGTCTATGGTGAGGGCCCTCTGTGGGGAGGGGCAGTGCCAGTGGCCCAGTCAAACACTGCTGAGTCTCTTGGCACCAAGGATACTGTCCGTGTCTCAGACTCCTTGGTTGTCCTGTCGCAGTCCCCTGGGAATCGAGCCTGAGGCAGCCTCTCCATCCTGAGCCTGTCATCTCAGTGGAGTGAGGGCCCCACATATGAGGGGAGACTGAGAGTGTTCGAGGAGCCCTGCACTGGCCTCCAGGCCCAGGCCCCATGTGCTCATCCTCCATCACTCCCAGCTAGAGCCCGGCTCAGAACTGCCCTCTCCTAGCCTTCACTTGCCACTTGCACACAGAGCAGGGACTTGGCAGTGATCCCCAGGGGGTCCCCTCTGCTGCTGAGAGTGGCAGCCTGCCTACTGGCCTCCTAATCTAACAAGGGAGGGCCAGGCCCACACAGAGGGTCCTCTTCAGGATTGGGAATGACACAACCAGGCTCACGGGCCCTGGCTGCTGTCCCTGCAGTGAACGGCGGCTGGTCCAGCTGGACAGAGTGGTCACCCTGTTCCAACCGCTGTGGCCGAGGCTGGCAGAAGCGTACGCGGACCTGCACCAACCCCGCCCCCCTCAACGGAGGTGCCTTCTGCGAGGGCCAGGCCTTCCAGAAGACGGCCTGCACCACTGTGTGCCCAGGTATGGTCACTGGTCAGGGACATGCTGCTCACATCCCACCTGTCTCCCCAGCATGGGGTCAGAAAATCCCTGTCTTAGGGCCTGCACCCACCTGACTACCAGGCTGGACCATCTGCTAAGGGGTCTGACCTTCAAACTGCCTGTACTGCTGGCCACAGGGAGGCAAAGGCCCAGAGCGGAAGTCTGGGGCCAGTGCTACATTCTTAGTGGCAGTCCCAGCCACCTGTGGCCAGGGAGCAGGCATGGGCCCTGGGCCTGTTAAGAATCCCCTTCTTGGGCCCTTCAATGCGCCAGGATCCCATATGGGCGCCAGTTCTAATCCCGGCAGCTCTACTTCCCATCTAGCTCCCTGCTTGTGGCCTGAGAAAGCAATTGAGAATGGCCCAAAGCCTTGGGACCCCGCACCTGCATGGGAGTCTGGAGGAAGTTTCTGGCTCCTGGCTTTGGATCAGCGCAGCACAGGCTGTTGTGGCCACTTGGGGAGTGAATCATCAGACAGAAGATCTTCCTCTCTGTCTCTCCTCCTCTCTGTATATCTGACTTTGCAATAAAAATAAATCTTTAAAAAAAATAGAAAAAAAAATCCCCTTCCTGTTTTGCCATCCTTCCTCTCTTATATGACCCCCCCCTGCCCATCTGGCCATGTCCTCACCCTGTGGGTGTGGATTGTTGTGGGGGTTCATGTCTTTGTGGCACAACGGGTCCATGCCCACAACCTATGCTCACCTGGCACTGGCCATGTTCATTGGCCAAGGGCCACATGGATGTGGCTTGCCTGTCCTTGTGTGACATGTGTGGGTCTTGGGTTCCAATCCACCTTCCACAGCATGTATGTAGATTTGTAAGTGTGTATTGGCACATTCTATACTACACACGCCTAACTGTGCATGTGCACATGTGTGCTGTGTCCCTGCAGTTGATGGGGCCTGGACAGAGTGGAGCAAGTGGTCAGCCTGCAGCACTGAGTGTGCGCACTGGCGCAGCCGCGAGTGCATGGCACCCCCGCCCCAGAACGGAGGCCGTGACTGCAGCGGGACACTGCTCGACTCCAAGAACTGCACCGACGGGCTCTGTGTGCACAGTGAGTGCTCGGCGAGGTGGGCCTGGGCAGCTCCTCACCCAGCTCAGCCCCGCCCCAGGCCTGGGGGCCTCCACCTGCTCGCTGCATCCATCGCCACATCTGTACCACCTCCCATCGCCGTCTCTGCTACCCTTCCCTGGCACCTGTGTCATTGTCTTTCCCTTTATTTCCCTCGACAGATAAGAAAACTCTAAGCGACCCTAAAAGCCACCGTAAGTCCCTTTTCCTGGCTGTTCTCTTTCCTTGGTGGGGGGAGGGGTCCCTTGTTCTCCTTAGTTGGCTTTTCCTGAGGGAGGGGTACAGCACAGGGTGAGCCAGAGGTTCCCCATGTCAGCCCCTTGTGGGTCCCTGATGTGGCTCTGTGTCCTCCTCAAAGGCAGATGGATTGCCCCTCCTCTTCCCAGATAGGGGGCTGAGGCTTATAGTGGGAACCTAGCCAGCAAGTAGCAGAGCCAGGACTCAAACCCAAATATTTCTGTGACCAGCACTGGCATTCTTAAGAATCTGTGTGTTCAGCCACCACAGGGCACCTTGCCCCTCCCTGGCAGCTGGATTAGGCCTCTTGACTCATCTATCAGCTCCCACTAGACCCGGCTGCTTGGTACTGCTGCTTGGTACTGGGGCCACAGAGCAGGGCCTGTGGAATTAAGCCACAGCGTCCAGATCACTTGGAACCATAAAGCCTGATGCAGCCAGGGCCCAGCTTCCTGGGGACCTGGGCTGGTGGCTGATCAGAGAGCACAATGCCCAAGACAGTGGGCTCCGGGGTGAGTGAGGCCGTTAGAAGGCAGAGCCTCCCGGGAGCTGAGCTGGCCCCACAGGGCCTCTAGGGAACACTAGGATCTTCAGGAGCCCAGGGGCAGGGCTGCTGAGGAGGGGGCAGCAGAGGCGGAAGCACAGGCATCCCGGGCTGATCCTGGGCCCTGCCTGGCCTCCTGAAAGGCTCTGGCTGTCCCCGGGCTTGCTGGGCCAGCTCAGCACGTCCTGCACTCTCGAGGACCAGCGTCTGTCTTGGCCTGGCCTGAGCTATCTGGCAGGGTAGCCACTCTCTACATGTTAGGGCTTGAACTTGGGCTTGACTTGAGTAAGTGAGTGCCCAACTTCAGCTGTGACTCGTGTCTGGGTTAGGGATCAGTACAAATGGCTTACTTCTCATTATGGAAAGTTCTGTCAGCCTGTACAGGGGAGGGAAGTGTGGCCCTGGGACACCTACCTGAACCCCATTTTTTCCTTACTCCTACTTACTTCTTAATCATCATCATGCATCTCATTCAGCTCCCATTACCATCACCCCCTGGCACCCTCAGAGTGGGAGAATGGGAGGAGAGCTCGGGACGGCGACTCGCCCAGATGTAGGACTGTGGTCTCTGTGTGATCAGGGAACAAATCCCAGCTCCAGCGAGATTGGCTGTATAGCACGTGACTCTGGGTCCTGACTCGGACTCTGACCCTGCTCAGCAAGAGCAGGGGTTGTTGTCTGGTCTTAGGGTCACCCTGCACAGGAGGCCAGGTAGGGGTAGGGAGGGTCTGGAGACTGTTTTACTGCTGGTCAAGAAGCTGACCAGAGAGGTTCCAATCTTGCTCGAAGTCACCAGACTGTTGAGACGGGCTTTAGGTTGGAAGAGTGCCCCCTCTCTAGGGATACCCTCCCCAACCTGGGGCCTGGGTCTCTTGCCTATCCCTGACGGATCTCCCTGTCCCTGCAGTGCTGGAAGCCTCGGGTGACGTGGCGCTGTATGCAGGCCTTGTGGTAGCCATCCTGGTGGCCGTGGTGGTCCTCTCCGTGGTGGGGGTGGTGGTATACCGCCGAAACTGCCGCGACTTCGACAGTGACATCACCGATTCGTCTGCCGCCCTCACTGGCGGCTTCCACCCCATCAACTTCAAGACCACCAGGCCTAGTAAGGACCCAAGTGGTGGGCATGGCCAGGGAGCCCAGAAGGACGCGTTGGCAAGCCAGACAAGAGCTCTGGCTCCTGACTCCTTCCTAGGGGTTTTCCATCTTACTGTGCCTTCCCAGGTGGGCTTCTGCAGGGGGATCTTGCCACAGCAGAAGCTGGGCTGAAAGGTGTCACCTCCCCATGCAGGCAACCCGCAGCTCCTACACCACCCCTCCGTGCCTCCCGACCTGACAGCCAGTGCCGGCATCTACCGTGGGCCTGTGTATGCCCTGCAGGACTCTGCCGACAAGATCCCTATGACCAACTCACCCCTATTGGACCCCCTGCCCAACCTCAAGATCAAAGTCTACAGCTCGGGCACCACCAGCTCTGCACCAGGCCTGCCAGAGGGGGCTGATCTGCTGGGGGTCCTGCCACCTGGCACCTACCCTGGTGATTTCACTCGAGACCCCCACTTCCTGCACCTGCACAGTACCAGTCTCAGCTCCCAGCAGCCCCTGGGTCTTCCCCGAGATCCAGGGAGCAGTGTGAGTGGCACTTTCGGCTGCCTGGGCGGGAGGCTCAGCATCCCTGGCACAGGTAGGCCCCTGCCTTGCTTGCTGGAGGTATAGCTCCCCTATGCACAAGACAGAGCTTCCCTAATCCCATATCACAGATGGGGAAAGTGAGGTTTGGTTGCAAGTGACTATAAAATGGAGAAGCCAGATTAGAAGACCTGGCCTCACTAAGACAGGGGACCTGGGGTCTGTTGATCTCCAAGCCTGTTAAGTGTGTGGGGTGGGGGGAAGCACCCCTACACAGGCAGCAGAACTGCCCTTGGTTCTAGCAGGGGTGCCCATCTTAAGTGGCTTTGCCAGCTTCCCAGTGTGCCATACTGAGCTGGGGAAAGGGCCTGGCCCTGAGAGATCTGTCCATTCCTAGACAGGCCATGTGCAGGCAATGGCCCAGCCTCTCCTGCTTGCAGCCCACAGTCCGTCTCCCCACCGCAGACAGATGACTGCTTGGAGCTTCTCAGGCTCCCTCCAACCCCCTCCCACTGACCCCCCTTTCTCCCCATAGGAGTCAGCTTGCTGGTGCCCAATGGGGCCATCCCCCAGGGAAAGTTCTACGAGATGTACCTTCTCATCAACACAGCAGAAAGCACCCTGTGAGTGAAGACTCCAAGCCTGGCACGGGCTGCCCCTCTTCTTCCTGTTTCTATTTCCTGTCCACGTTGAGGTCAAGTGTTCCCACCTTCCTTCCGTTGGGAGCCTGGGCTCAGCCCGGAGGCAGGAAAGGCATTGATCTAACTTAAAACAGAAGGCAGCATCATAGATCATAAAGGTGAAAGGCAGTAGGCAGACTGACTGCAGGGAAGACAGAGGGTTAATAGCATGATTGTATGAAGAGATTCTATAATGAACAAGAGACATTGAGTATCAGGACAGACATAGGCCCACGTTTACTCAGGCTGTCTCTTACACATGCCAATTGGTCATGAGAAAACTTTCTTAGAATTTGTGGTTCATGAAAAACAGTCTTGAGACACTGAGAACTTTGTGTGCAAAGGATTTTTAAAAATTAGTTGTATTGTGATATTTTAAATAAAATGTTCATTTATTTGTAAGACAAAGCTCAAGAGAAAGATGCGAGGTCTTCCAAGATACTTTCTACAGCTGGTGCTGGGCCCAAAGCCAGGAGTTGGGAATTCCATCTGGGTCTGCCATGCCTCCTTTGCCTCAGTAACTTGTCGGGACCCTGAGCTGTGACTGGCAGAGGAGACCTGCGCAGGCAGGGCTGTGCCCAGCCAGTGTCTGCACCCTCTTTTCATGGTCTCCCCATCACCCTCTGCTCTGTTCCCAGCCCACTCTCAGAAGGGACCCAGACAGTATTGAGCCCCTCGGTAACGTGTGGGCCCACAGGCCTCCTGCTGTGCCGCCCAGTCATTCTCACCATCCCTCACTGTGCCGAAGTAGGCGCTGGCGACTGGATCTTCCAGCTCAAGACCCAGGCCCACCAGGGCCACTGGGAGGTGAGGAGCTACAGACAGAACCTGCCCTGGGGGGTCTGGGGAAGTGAGAGAAAGCCCCTCGTTGCTCCCAGCCCAGCCCAAGCTGGATAGGTGTGGCCCATCCGCTCCCCCAACATGCACTTTCCCCTGCAGGAAGTGGTGACCTTAGACGAGGAGACCCTCAACACACCATGCTACTGCCAGCTGGAGGCCAGGTCCTGCCACATCCTGTTGGACCAGCTGGGCACCTACGTGTTCACTGGCGAGTCCTACTCCCGCTCAGCGGTCAAGCGGCTCCAGCTGGCCGTCTTCGCCCCTGCCCTGTGCACTTCCCTGGAGTACAGCCTCAGGGTCTACTGTCTGGAGGACACGCCTGTCGCCCTGAAGGTAGGATCAGGAGACCTGTGGTCATCCAGCTGCATGGTCCCTCAAGCAGTCCCCTCCTGGAGCTCCTGGTAACCCCTGAGCTTCCTTCCTCTGCACCATCAGTACCCTCAGTTCCTCTGGCACAGACATGCATCTGGTCCTGGAGATCACTGGAGGCACCTGTCAGGTTCTGCCGGGGAATTGAGGGAGCACCCACCTGGAAGGGTCTTACGTTGGTGGGGTATGGGGTCTGACAGGCTTCTGACCTAAGCACCGAAGAGCAAGTAGGAGTTGAGCAACACAGGGTGAGGGACACTCCAGGTAGAGCATGAGGGCTGGGGAGGGGCTGGGCTCAGCTACCTGCGAGCCGTGTCCAGGAGTTTAGAATCTACTTGGGGGAAAGGGGAGACCTGGAAGATAGTTGTTCACAGACACCACGCATTGCCCCTGTGGTCACATCACAGCTGGGCCTGAGACAGCGGCCACTTGTGGGGCTGGGGCTGGCTGGACTCTGAGCAACAGGCAGTGGCAGTGGTCCAGTCAGGGTAGAATGGGTCAGAATCAGGACTGGTGACTGATAGACTGGGAAAGAGAGAAGGAGGCAAGGCTGGCAGCCAAGGAGTGCTGTGCATGCAAAAAGCCAGACAGTGGAGGCCCCAAGTACGGGTGAGGCCTGGTGAGGATGGTTAGGACAGGAAGGGCAGGAAGATGGGGGAATCGAATCTCCACCTCTCAGCAGCTGCTGCCCCTCCCAGCCCTGGCCACATCCTCCCCACCTCCCAGCTCCTCAGTCCATCCCAACAGCCCTGGGCTATGTGTAAGCTCTCTGCCTCCTTAATGCTTCCAGCTGCAGTCCATGCTTTCTCCCACCCTGGACTGTGGTTCTCCCAGTTCCTTTGTCCCCAGCCTCATGTCACAGACTGGTGAAAGGGCTGCGCAAGAGTGTATTGCAGCTGGGGAATCCTGGGAGACTCACAGGGGCTTGCAGGTTCCTGGGAAATGCTCCTGAAACCCAGACCTGGTTATCAGGCATTACCTAATGTCCAGCTTTGGCCAAGGAATGGTTAGGAAGAGTTATCACATTTTGATCCGATGATCTACCTGTTCATCTGTCTACCCATCAACCCACCTAGTCAACCTCCCACCCTCCATCCACCCCATCTTTCCACTCATCTATCCATACACTTAGCCAAAAGCCTGTCTTCGTCACCCATTCAGCCATTCATCTATCTTTCCTTCTATCTTCCTATTAATATTTTAACCTATTTGTATATCTATTCTTTGATCCATCCACCTACCCATCAAGTCATTGTGAACCCATTTATCTGTGTGTTCACCTGTTGATCTGTCCACAGTGCAAACCTGTGAGCAGGCCCTGTACTTCGGCGTTTCGCTGCCATGGCTCTGGCTTGCAGCAGCAAAGCTCTGGACTTCCACCTGTGACAGACTTCCTCTTCCTGTTGCCCTGTCTGCAGGAGGTGCTTGAGCTGGAACGGACTCTGGGAGGCTACCTGGTGGAAGAGCCAAAACCCCTTCTGTTTAAGGACAGTTACCACAACCTGCGCCTCTCCCTCCATGACGTCCCCCACGCCCAATGGAGGAGCAAGCTGCTGGCCAAGTACCAGGTGAGGGCTGGGGCTGGACCCTACCTCCTCGCCGTATTCACAGCTTTGCCCAGCCCAAGTCTCTCATCACTGTCTCTGCCTTCCTCCCCCACCCACCCCCCAGTCCTCTTTGGGTACTTTCCCAGTTTCAGTGCTGTTAACGGCTGCATGCAGGTACCTGTGTACCCAAACACCTATCTCTACCCTTGCCAACCGAATGTGCATATCTGGCACACCATCCCTGCCTGGTTCTGAGGACTGAATCTGCCCCAAACCTGTGGGAAGACTTCCCAGCCTGAGGCACCTACACATGCACGTACCTTCAGCCACAGGCTTTCCTCTCCTTCAGACTTGGCTTCTTCTTAACTCCCTCTTGTAACACAGGAGTTCCATGCAGTGTCTTCCAGAGGTCCTGGCCCCCTGGGGAGCCCTCCACACCCCATGAGGGTTAGATGGGCTGCTTAGCACTGACACCCACCTCCCTGCAGGAGATCCCCTTCTGTCACGTTTGGAGCGGCAGCCAGAAGGCCCTACACTGCACGTTCAGCCTGGAGAGGCACAGCCTGGCCGCCACAGAATTCAGCTGCAAGATTTGTGTGCGACAGGTGGAAGGGGAGGGCCAGATCTTCCAGCTGCATACCACGCTGGCGGAGGTGAGGTCACTGGGGAGCATGGTTCCTCCCACCCCACGCCATCTTTTGAGGCTCGGATGAGGGCCCTGGTGGGTTTGACTTCTTACTATCGGCATGCATCAGGCAACATTCTCAATATCACTGCCTCTCCAGAACTTCTGGGGAGACCCCACGTGATGATTCCTCGCCCCAGGGAGGTGGGAGAGAAAGTGGACCACAGGGTGGGCAAGTTTACACACAGCCACATAACTGGTCAGTTGGATTTGAGCCCAGCCCCAAGGCTGGGGCTCCCAATCACTACATCCTGGATTGATACAGTCACCCAAGCCCAGGTCACCCAAGGGTGCCAGAAGTGGATCCTCCCTGTGGGTGCAGGATGGAGACTATAGACTGAGGTCTGGCCCAGCTATGCTGGCCACCTGCATGTGATGGTAGGGTGGAGTCACTCCTGATTTCCAGGCTTCCTTGGCCCTGCATGGACTTGAGTCCTGGAGGCTGTATCCACATGTGCCTGGGGGCAGCCCAGTGCTGACTGCAGCTTTGAGCTCTGGGTCCCAAGATGGTAGGTTGTAGGTGCATTGCTTGCCTCACTGTTGGCCTCTGTCCTTCCAGACGCCGGCTGGCTCCCTGGATGCCCTCTGCTCTGCCCCTGGCAGCACTGTTACTACCCAGCTAGGACCCTATGCCTTCAAGATCCCACTGTCCATCCGCCAGAAGATATGCAACAGCCTTGATGCACCCAACGCGCGGGGCAATGACTGGCGGCTGCTGGCACAGAAGCTCTCCATGGACAGGTGAGTGGCCCCAGCCACAGCCCACCTGCACCTGCCACAGGGTTCCCTCAAGCCTGCACTCAGCCTCCCATTTGCCACCATCTGCAGCAGGTTTGGATGTGCTGAGTCTGGAAACGGTTGCCCTAGGCTGGACTGTTGGAGTGTGGTTGCCTGAGCCAGGAAGGGTCGGGGTGACCACCATGGTCTCCAAGCTCTGCTCTGATCTCACCCAGTGGAAAGACAAGGATGTGGCTTTACAGCTTCCAGAAAAGTAGGGTTAAAAGATCAGATTATCTGGATGCAAGCAAATTTTCAAATCCATGCCTAGTTTTCTCATAATATATATTCCCATGAACTTTGTTGGTGATCCCCCTTATGCACAGAATTTAAAATTTCTAGCACCAATATTCCCTTTTAATTCCATTTCCTCCAAACTTTCTGAAGTGCCCACATGGTGCTCCACCTGCCCATCTCCTGAGATGGCCAGCCAATCAGATAGCTCTAGGTTTGATCCCAGCAACACCCAGTACCCAGATGACCCTAACCCTAACCCTAACCCTAACCCTAACCCTCCCCAACTTGTTACCAGAGCTGCTTTGGAGAACTCCAAATGCTATGTGAATGCAGCAACTGTGGTATTACATTGATCACAAGATGTGTGATTGCCCTGCGTTGAGCAGAGGCTGTGGATAAGCCATCTTCCCAAAAAGATGGGGGGGGAGGCGGTGTTTAAAAATGAGTGAAGCTTTGTTTTTACTCTCCGAGAAGGTCAAGGGCAAGATCAGGAAGGAATGAAGTAGGAGGAAAGGGAGGAAGGGGTAAGGCCCAGGGCTTGAGCAGTCTATAGGTACAGTATTTTCCATTGAGGAGGAGGGTGATGATGATGGACATGATGATTTCATGCTTAGATTGAGCACTGGACCTGGCGTTACATTGTCTCGGCTTTTTAAGAGGAGACTGAGATCCAGAGAGGTGTCCTGAGGTTCCAGGGCCCCATAACCTGCAAACAAGGCAGCTGGGCAGCTGGAGTTCACACCTCAGGCCTGCCGCCTCTTAGCCACAGGGCGTGCCAAGGGCTCAGAGCATGTCCTCTCCCCCCTCCCCAATTGACCCTTCTCTCTTCCAGGTACCTAAACTACTTTGCCACCAAAGCCAGCCCCACAGGCGTGATCCTGGACCTCTGGGAGGCGCTGCAACAAGATGACGGGGACCTCAATACCCTGGCCAGTGCCTTGGAAGAGATGGGCAAGAGTGAGATGCTGGTAGCCATGGCCACTGATGGGGACTGCTGAGCCCCAGGGCCCACAGGGACAAACAGGAGGTGGTGCAGGGAGGCCTGGGGCAGCCTCCTGGGGGGCTCAACAGCCTGTCCTGCCCCCACCTCATGGCTGGAGTACCCCTGACCACCTCTGCCTCCTCCACACCTCTCCTGCCAGAGCCCCAGACCACAACCAGCCTTAGAAATCTACGTCTTCTGTGGCCAACAGGGTCCACATCCCTGTGCATCCCCTGCCGTCTCTCCGGCCCCAGGCCTCCTGGTGGAAAACTCAAGGGGAGCAGGGCTGGGGCCAAGGTCTCTGGCTGCAGCAGGAGGTGAGGACGGGCCCACTCACCCCCAGCCTCAGCTCCGTGATGTTGGGTTCAGAGGTTCTGTTTTAGATCCTTCTTCACTTTCTGCCTCTGTTATTGATTCCTCCTTCTCCCTGAAGCCCCCTCTGCTTTCACGCCCTTTCCCTCTTTTTGCAAGGTCAAGTACAATTCAGACAAGACTTAGTCCCATCAAAACGCAAAAAGGAAAGAGGGGAAACAAAAAAGCTTTAGATCACTAGTAAGGCTTAAAGAAAAACAGCAAAACCACAAGGGAAAAGAAAAACCCAGTTTCTTAGGAAACGCAAATGATTTATTATCCAGATATTTGGATAAGTCCTTTTTAAGAAAAAAAAAAAGAAAATGAAAAACAATACACACAAAAAAAATAGAAAACTCTTTTCTCACGTGGGCACAAGTGAGTGTGTGCGTGTGTCTGCGTGCGGGTTGGGGACAGAGAGATGGAACATGGACTGTTTTGCTGCTAACGAATCTGCCTTGGGCCAAGGTCTGGTATGGCCCCAGTTCTCCTGGTTCCCCATGCAGGCTGTAGCCATGTCACCAAGATGCCTGCTTGAGTCTCCAGCAGTGGCCCAATCCCCAAAGCCAGTGAGACCCCAGTGTGGAGTGGATGGGGTATTTCCTCTCTGACAGCCCCTGGCAGGTACCACTCAGGCTCCCAAGAACCCCAGGTTAAAAGGCACTGGGATAGCAAATGTGGTGGACAGGCGGGACCAACTGTGAGGCAGGGAGAGTGTTCTGGTCTGGTCTGGTCTAGTGGCTCCTGTAGAGGATGTGGTCCAGAAGTTGGGCAGGGAGGGGGATGTCAAGAAAATCTCCCTGTTGAGCTCTCCTGAAGGGCTGGAGAACTTTCTCCCCCAGCTCAGGGCCTTCAGAATACCCCCACCCTAGCCTGGCCATGCCATCTCTAGGCCAGTGGACTAGGGCAGACCTGCACCCCTTATGCCCAGCAGTCCAGATCAGCCCCTCTCCAGCCTTTCTCCTGCTGTGACATAGAAGACATAGAGACGTGGGCTGGAGGCTGTCAGTAACCTTCATCAGGTGGCTTCAGGAGTGTGCAGTGGTGGCAGAGCCCGGCTGAGCCTCATGCACTAAAGGGAGGCAGGGGAGGCCAGACCCGCCCCCCACTCAGCTCCTCACACACCTCTTCCCCCAAGGAAGAGGACCTTAAGAGATGTGCTTAAGTGGGCTGGGCCAGGCCCCCACAGATGCTGAGCACAGATGCCTCGGTGCCCTGGGCAAAGCAAGCACTGACTCCCCATATCTCCATCAGCAGAGTGCAGACATCAGTCCCAGGGCTTGCCCCAGCAGGTCTGCGTGCAGCCTTGATACGTCCTGGCCTCCCAAACATGGGACTGAGAGGAGAGCAAGGTCCCACTGCATTCCCATCTGCAACCCTGCCTGGAGTCCCTGGGCTGGGGCTGGCCATAGGAAGCACAGGACCTTGGCCACAGGTTGGAGAGAGAATTTCTTCCATCAGGGTTGCTGACTGGGCCAGGCCTGCCTTGGGGGCTGGACGCTGTGCTGAGAGCTTACTAGTGTGCTCGCTGCCTTCCCTGACAAAGGGACCCTTCCCTGTGGACTTGGTCTTGCTGATCACACCTGTGTCCTCCCAGACTTTAGGGTGTCACCCCCTACAGACCCCTAAATGCCCACAGGCAGGGGTCTGAAGATGGGAATCCAGCTCTAGCTCTGCCTTTAGACTGCTGTGTGACCTCAGGCTACTACTGCATCCTTTGGGCCTCTGTGCCCTCTTCATGTCCAGAAGGTTCCACCGCTGCTGTCTGCATCCCTGTGGGGTTCTGAGGGGAGCTTCCCAGAATTCTGAGGGAAGCTCCCTGCGGTACAAGTGGGCCTTGGCCTGCCTGCCTCTCCTCCTCCTTGCTTGCCCTTGGCCTCTCCTGCCCATTTGGCCCCAGTCCAGTGAGGTCCAACCAGCCACCCAGGTGCCGCTTCTCATTTAATGTCCAGAAATCCTGTCCTGTGGCCTGGAGGGCAGGACCAATCGGCTGGGGCCTCCTGGGAGGGTCCCGGCTGCCCAGTGTTGGAAAGAAAGCCCAGCATGGGCTAGCTGAATCCATCTGCCGCGGAGGCTGTTGTGATGCAGGCAGCCTGCAAGTCTGCAGGGTCAGCACTGCTGCAGGGTCATGTAGTGCCTGCTCACAGCTGTTTCCATCGTGTGTGTGTGTGTGTGTGTGTGTGTGTGTGTGTGTGTGTGTGTGTGTGTGTGTGAGCTGTTCTCTGAGGGCACATCAGGGTGCCCTCGGGGAACTTGGAGAGGCGGGTGCACCTGTTCTGTCCCCTTAAGCCCACAGGCTCGGTCCGTGTCTCTTCAATGTGCCTCTCCCTCCACCTTCTCTTGACACACCCCAGGCTCCAACCCTCGGGGGCAGGCTCCTCCTGCGGGCCATGGGGACCCTCCTCAGCCCCTGGACCTCCCAGGGCCCTCTGGTCCCCAGCTCCCACAAGGTTACCCAGGCGCTTGGGTGCAGGGACCTTCTTGACCGTCTCCTAGGGATAGAGGAGTGGCCATGGCTGTGTCTAGTGGGGTGCAGCCCTCTCGGGGTGACTGACTCCAGCTCCAGCTCTGTTTATTCTGTAAACTGCAACCTGTAAATAACGTTTAGCATTCCTATTGTAACAAATTAATTTTTATGAAATAAATTATATTTCCTAGTCTAATAAAAAAATCTTGGTGTTCTGTCTTCTTGGCCATCTTCATATCTCTATAAGGAGTCTCGAAGTCCCAGAGGCTGGGTGTGGGCACCACTATCCAGCCCATTTCTCTGAGCCCCCAGAGCTGATCCAGCTCAACAGCCTCATGCAACAGAGGGACATCACTTCCCTGCGGTCACACAGGAGGTGGGAGCCCATACTGGGTCTGGTGCTGGCCCGTGTGTGTGCCAAGCAGAACCTTTGTGGAATCTGTTGGGTTCATGTTTTGGATCTGGTGGGCCACGCAGAGATGGAGCCACCACACTTCATCTGAGTTCAGGGCGTGTTTCCTCGCTGTGACAGAAGCCAAACGGTCAAGAATGTTGGGATGTGGGGCCAACATCCCATACGGGCCCCAGTTCAAGTCCCGGCTGCTCTGCTTCTGAACTAGCTCCCTGCTAATGCATCTAGGAAAGCAGCAGAAGATGGTCCAAGGACTTGGGCCTCAGTATCCACGTAGGAGATGTGAAAGATGTTTCTGGCTCCTAGCTTTGGACAGGAACAGCTCCAGCCACCGTGACCATTTGAGGAGTGACCCAATGGATGGAAGGTTCTCTCTGACTTGTTTTATCAATAAGCCTTTAAAAAGAAGAAAAGGAAGAATGTTGAGATTTTAGAACTTTGTGCAGGTAGGGAGGATACATGGGCAGGTCACTTGGCTGCATGGTTGGGCAGGAGGGGAAGGTGGCTCCATTTCCGTGTATATTGTAGATCTGCATAATTTATGTAGTTTAAAATTTTTGCCTTTGAGGGACAGAGCTCTAATTCGTTGTTTTACTCCCCAAATGCCTACCACCAAGGACCAGGATGAGGGCTGGGCTGAAGGCCAGAACACGGACTTAGTCCAGGTTTCCTACTTGGGTAGCAGGGACCCAAGAACTTGAGCCATCACCTGCTGCCTTCCACAAAGTGCATTCACAGGAAGCTGGAACTGAGGTATTGCAGTGTAGCATGTGGGCACCGAAGCGTTGGCCTACCCTGTAAGCTGAATGTCCACCTGCAAATCTCTGTGTTGCCAGCAGATGGCGTAAAGGGGCTTGTTCCCATAAATCGGTATGTTTTTCCCAAAGATGTGTACAGCACAGCCTCATCTTTCATCACTAGCAGCGACCCCATTTCCTGCCCTCTCACTGTGGACCTCAGGTCTCCTATGGGAGTTATTTGCACCCAGAACTTCCTGGCATGCCTTGCCTTCCCCCTGAGTAGATTCTGAGGCTTCCAGTTGGACCAGTGTTACCAACAGTGTGTGAAAGGAGCCAGGAAATCCCATGGGAAGGATCATATTAGAAGGGCTTTCTCAGGCTGGTTTGGCTGTGGAACTGTCAACCTGCACACCCCTGAAGTGTGCAGTCCTATGGGCCTTCCTGGGGTCTGGGTGAGGCATCACCCAGCCATCCTCCTGGAAGTGAGGTGCACCTATGGACAAGGTCTGAGCCTGGAAGGAGCCAAAGCAGAGGGTCTGTTGGGGGAGGAGATGGGGTGGGGAGGTGTACCTGCCCACTGACACATCGGCTCCGGCGTCCTCACCTAGGGGCCTAGAGCACCTGAGCAGTCACTCTCAGCAAAGCCCTCCTAGTAGTAGAGTTTAGGGGAGAGAGACATATATGACACAAGTTTGCCCATTTGCACATGTGTGAATGAAGTGAGATGGGCAGGCCGGGGTGAGCTCCCAGTCAGACTCCCTTACCTTTATCCCTGACCTGCCACATAAGCAGGCAAGGTACATCTGCAAGCTCCCCTGAAAGCAGGTGGGGGTCCCAAAGTTAAGGTCTGGAAGATCAGGCTCCTCAGTCCCCACCCTAAGTCTCAGCTTCCTTTGTTGGCTGATGCTATTTAGTAATTTAGGGCCAAGGTCCCTGTTCCAGGCAGGAATGTGACTGCCCCACCGATGGGCCCAGAGGTGAAACAGGGAGAACCAGGAGAAGGTAGAAGGGTCAGCTGACAGTGGCTGCCCCACGTGGTGCTCTAGAGCAGAGCCCAGACCTGAGAAGTTATGCATTTTGTGGGACCCCCTCCTAGACCAGGTTGTGCAGTGACTTTTCCTCAGGGAGCTTCCCACTGGGGCCAGTGGTGTGTCACACACAGCAAGTTAAGCCACCACTTACACATCCCATATCAGAGTGCAGGTTTGGGCTTCCGCTGCTCTACTTTGAATCCTGCTTTCTGCTGATGCTCCTGGGAAAGCCACAGATGATGATCCAAGTGCTTAGGTCTCCAGCCCACCGACATAAAAAACTTAAGTGGAGTTCCTGGCTCCTATTGTTGGCTTGGTCCATCCCTAGGTGTTGCATGCATGTGAAGGAATGAATCAGCAGATGGAAAGACTGGGTTCGGGGACTGCCATCTGCTGGGAGGGAGGGGGCTGTATGGTTTCTGGGCTTTCCTTGGGGTGGACAGGGGGAGGGAACTAAGTAAGGGTCCTCTCAGGAGCTCACCCAGGACACGGCAGAGCCGGTGGAGGAGGCACCTGAGCATCTACACCATGCCACCCGTTACTGTGGGGGCTTGAACCTGCCCGGCCCAGCTCCCCTATCTAAAAAGCCTCCCAAGGTGGGATCTGCATCCTTGGAAATTCGGGGCACACTTATTGGTCCCTTTCTACAGGGGACCCTGCATTGGAGAGTGGCGAACAACTGGAGACTGGTTAGTTGAGCACATATGGCCCATGTGGAGGGGGGCGGCAGGAGGGAATGCTTAGGCCTGCCCCAGCCTCCTGCTCCAGAACCCAGGCCTGGGGCATGCCATCACAGGCCAGGCAAGGCCCACCTGGTATGTGATCTGCTGGGTGATGTGAGGTTTCCAAGCAGGCCAGGGGTGGGCACAGAGTGGCCCTGGGTCGGGGGATGTGGTCCCGTGCCCCTCCCCACCCCCACCAGCTGCCTCGGAGCTGCTTTCTCTGGGTTGCATCAGGGGGGCCATGGTACCCAGCCCAGCTACTTCTCCTCCAAGTGCCTCCTTGGGATGGTGGCTGAGCCAGTCCTTGCCCCCGGAGCTGCTTCCCAGCCTGACAAAACCCAGGGCGGGGCTTGGCTAACTTCCAGGTGCCTGGGGACAGGGCCAGCACCCACACCTGAGTCTCACAGTGGCCAGGGACTGCGGCGCTCCTCGGGGTCCCCTTCATGGACTTCTTGGATGGCAGGGTGGAGGGCTACATCGCATGCCAGTGTCTCCTCCACACAGGCCTCGGACAAGGGTATTCCCCGTCTCTATACTTCCCCAAAGATGGGGCTATCGCCCCTTCCCAGCAGCGCTGACGTCCGGCATTCACTGAAGGCATTCTTATTCTCTCTGTACAGACCATTATCTAGGGCTGCTTGTGGATGGAAGAAAAGATATCCCGGTAATGGAGAGGAGCCAGGGGAACCTTCCAGAGGGGGCCATTGTACCAGCACTCTGTAAGGGGAGCTGAGTCCTAGTGGGGACTTGGCTTTGGATTTGCGATATGAGGCAGGGTAGTTAGGAGTTGGTAATCTTGAACACCACCTCGCAGGACCCATGTGCGCAAGGCAATCCAGGAAAGCCACTGCCTCAGCGAGCACTGCAGCGACGGGGATGCGCCACGAGGTGGCAGCATCGCCCCGAGAATCCCGGACACGGCCGCCTAGCCTGCGCTTTTCTAGGCTGATTTCTGAGGCAGGGTAGGGGCGCGGCGGTGACGCAAGCGGCGTGCGCGAACCGAGCTGGGCCGGAGCCCGGGAGCGCCTCCTGCTTGCTCAGTCGCCGGTAGGTTCGCCGAGCTGGGTCAGCGGGCAGGAGCTTGCAGGTCGCGCTCCAGTCACGGAAGATGGGGGGTCCTCGCGGGAGCTCGGTGTGGCCGGCCCGGTTCTGTGAAGGAAACAAGCCATGGAAATGGCCATTCCTGTCCCAGGAGGCGCCGTGCAGACTGGAACCCCTCCCGGAGTTGGTCCCCCTTCCTCAGAGACCCCACCTCAGGGGTGGCCAGGCTGTCCACTCCCACGCGCAGGGCCCCGGGAGGCCAGGCTGTCCACTCCCACGCGCAGGGCCCCGGCAGGCCTGGCTGTCCATTCCCACGCGCAGGGCCCCGGCAGGCCAGGCTGTCCATTCCCACGCGCAGGGCCCCGGCAGGCCAGGCTGCCCACTCCCACGCACAGGGCCCCGGCAGGCCAGGCTGCCCACTCCCACGCGCAGGGCCCCGGCAGGCCAGGCTGTCCACTCCCACGCGCAGGGCTCCCGGGCCTTGCGCCATCACTTTTGACGGCTCCTGTGTGTGCGGATCTCGGGTTGAGCACCTGGGCTACGCCGTCCTCCAGTGCGCCCGTCTCTTGTCCTAGGAGCGTCAGTCGTGACCCCACAGCGGGCAAGGGGAGGATCAGTCTCCATGGCAGTGGCCACCCTGCTTCCTGGGCACCTCTTGGGGACGCTTTTCAGAGCAGCCTTGCCCGTTGGGAGGTGGCCCTCCTCCTCCTCCTTTCTTCAAGTGAGTTACAGACCAAGCTGCTAAAACCCCCGCCTCCCGTGTTGGAGTGGAGCCTGGCCTGGAAGCCAGAGGGCAGTGATGGTGGCTCCAGGCCCTGCCACCAGCACGTGGGGGCCCCGGACGGAGGTCCCAGCTCCCAACTTCAGCCTGGCCCAACCCCAGCAATTGCAGACATTTGGCGAAGGCGCCAGTGCATGGGAGACCTGTGTCTCTCCAATAGAAAAAGAACGATGACTCATGGCTGTACAACACTTCACCACTCTCCCTGGCATTCCCTGCCAAAGCTTGCCCGTGGGTGGTGATGGAAGGAGAGAGTGGCCAGTGCAGAGTAGCGTGGTGGGCCCCGAGGCCAGCTGTACCCTGGGCCCCCCGCTGTAGTGTGCCTGTCGCCCAGTTAGCACCTTGTGTCCCTGCACTCTGATGACCTGTCAGGGGACATGTTTTATTACCTCCTCCCTGAAGAGGCCAAGGACAAGAGACTGGCTGAATGTCAAGGGTGGGAACAGGGGAAGCAGCTGCTAGCCCCTCCATCGCGGTGCGCTCTGCTGCCAGGGTCTGGCTTGCCCAGCCAGGGAAGCCCGGTTCCCGCTGGAGCAGGGACATCCCAGGGGTGCGAGCTGCCATTGCAAGCGGAAGGGGCCCTCTCCAGGGCGCTGGGAGCGAGGCGAGCAGTGCGGGGCTGCCAAGGGCGCCCGTCTCGGGCTGGGGCAGGTGCGTGGGAGACCGCGGCGCCTCACTTTCCCCGGGGCGCGAACCGTCCCCGCCGGCGCCGGGCGGGGGCGCGCGAGCGCGGAGAGGAGGCCGAGGCCCCGCGGCCGCGCGTCCGGGAAGCGCAGCGCCGGAGGGCGGCCGGAGGGGAGGCGGGGCGGCGGCGAGGGGTCGGCCCGGACGGGGCAGGGCAGGGCCCGCCGAGCCCGGCTCGCAGTGGCCGGGAGGCGGCGGCGCGGCGCGGCGGCGACAGTAAGTGGGGCCGGAAGTCGGGCGGCGGCGGCGCAGGCCGGGAGGTCGGGCCGGTCCTGGAGCCCTTGGGCTCCACGGCCTCCTTTCCCGGCGCTGGGCAGAACTCCAGCCGGTTGCCGGCGTGCCTCTGGCCGCTCCCTCCCGGCCTGCCCACTCCGAAACTCCTGGACCTCACGAGACGCGGGTGTTTTTAGATTGTAGACCAGTCGGTCCATGGACCCAGGGGTGTCCGCCTGCCTGCTACTGCCACTTAGGTGGTCTTTCCCAGCTGCCCTCCCTGCTCACCGATCAGCCAGCACACAGCCGGCCCCCAGTGGGGAGGTGGGCTGGCCGGGCTCAGCCCGGAGCTTCACAGCAGTCGTGCGGCCCGGCCTCCCAGCCCGGGCGATGCTGGGCGGTGTCAGACCTCACAGGTTCCTGCTGCTCCGAGCAGGGGCTGCCCTGGGTTCTAGGGCCACCAGGAAGGGCCCAGCCAGCCCTGGAGGGCTGCTGCAGGTGGACACTGTCGCTGTTGGATGGGGGGAGGTTTGAATCCTTACTTTTCTTTTTCCCTTTCTCTAATCTAAAGCCAGTGCGAGCTTTTTATTAAGAGTAATAAGACTGCTCACTCCACTGCCCTGGCCTTGACCTGGGTTAGAGAAAATTCCTGGTGCCTTCAGCAGCTCGGTCAAGGCTGACTGGTCTTTAACAAATAGACAGGGGAGCCTAGGAGGGGAGCCAGTGACATGGTGCTGGGCCCTGCACCCCCAGCCTCCCCTCCCCACACCCCCCTGCTCCAGCCCCAACCTGGACGGCTGGACCAGCCCAGGCCCTGTTGTCCTGTGCAATGCTAATTCTGTGCTGCGTTTTTAAACAGGCATGTTGGAGTTCCCTGCACCCCACTGGGGAAGAGGGGCCAGGTAACCCTGAGCAAGGCTTGGCCTCACTTAGTGACTGATGCCCTGGCTAAAGAAGCCACCGCCCGAGGGCCTCCCATGCCCAACCCTTGACAGGATGGACAGACTTCCTGTCTGTCATGCTGCTGCCGGGTCCCAGTGCCTTGCAGAGTACACAAGTCAGCAGGTTTTCTCGTAGTCCTGGGCGGTAGCTGGCCCCAGCTGGGTGACCAGCCCAACATGGCAGTTAGGGGGCTGCCTGCCTCCTGCGGGGTAGCAGCAGCCCTGGGCCAGGCACCCGCTGATTGATTGTGCTGCTGTCCCCATTGCAGAACAGGCTCTGCTTGGTTTGCAGCTGGGGAGGTTTGAGGCTTGGAGGTGAGGGGACTTGGAAGTGGAAGGCCCTGCCTGGCCTGCTTGTCCGAGGAGCTGCTGTGGCTAGGGAGTGGTCCTGTCCCACTGGGCTGTGATGTACAGACATGGGACTGTGGTTGCAAGCCCAGGCATGGTGTTTATGGCGACCGTGACCTGCCACTCCTCAGACCTCTCCCTACAGATGAAGTGGAAGGTCACACGTTGGCTTCTGGGGCAGTTTGTCACATCAAATGGATGCATTTGCTTTGGATTCCTCCAGCCAGGCCTCCCACACAGGCCCAAGTCCTAGAGCTGTCCGTCACCTGCTGCCTCCCGGGGTGTACCTCAGGGGGAAAGCTGGGATTGGGAATAGAGGCAGGGCTGGCGAGTAGGCATCCAGTTTTGTTTGTGACTTAAGATGTGATTTTTGTACCCCCGTGAATCCACACGGTTCCAAGGTCAGAGGCATGAGAGAGAAGGTCGTGAGGGTTCCCTGCCCGGCTGTGGTCTCTGTCCCCAGAGGCAGCCACTGTGGGAACGTGTGTCTAACCTCCCCTCCCTGCCAGTGCATACTGCTTACCCCCAGCTGTCCTGTGTCTTCTGTTCCTGTCCTAGATGTGGCAAAGGCTTTCTAGAACCTTCTTCACCCATCCTTCTTCCTCCAATCCTGGCTGCCTTACAGCTGCACTGCCTTTAGACCCCGTCAGTCCTTCCGAGTGCGGTGGTCCCAGGTACCCCACACTTGGGAGCCTTGTGTGGCCCTAGCATGGCTGCTGATGGTTCCCACATCAAGCATCAAGGCAGGGGCTTTCCCCCCAGGCTTGGGCAACCCTCTCGATGGCAGGTGTTAGGGGTACAGCCCCTCTGTAGGACAGCTGAGTTGCCAGCTGCCCACCCTAACCTGTCTTCCCCTTCTCTGCTGCAACAGTGGCTGTCGTCCCCAAAGATGACATTCGTCACAGCTCCAACTCCACCTACACCGCCAGAAGCAGCTCTCTCCAAGCCGACCAGGAGGCCCTGCTGGACAAGCTGCTGGACCCCCCGACCCCCAGCCTGCAGAGGCCCGAGGACCGTTTCCATGGCACCTATATAATCTTCTTCAGCCTGGGCATGGGAAGTCTGCTGCCGTGGAACTTCTTTGTTACCGCCAAGGAATACTGGATGTTCAAACTGCGCAACTGCTCCAGCGCGGCCACCAGGCCCGACCCTGAGGACTCAGACATCCTGGTAAGGGCACATTGCTCCCTGGGTGGTCAGGAAGGGCTCCATCCAGGCCTCCACATGACCACGAGTCACCTGCTTCTGGCTGGCACATGAACAAGGCCAGCCTTCAGACAGGCCCCTGTGTGACCTGGTCTGAGAGATGCAGGTGGTGACATGCTGTGTGGACTGTTGAATCACCAGGGTCTGCAGGGTCCAACCACACATTGTGCTCAGCCACGAGGTCCAGGCAGCTCCGGGAAAGTGACGGCTAGAGCGAGGATGTAGGTCAGGTCATTTTTCCCTTGTATACAGGTCTGGAGGGGCCAGTCCGAGGTATCCTCAGGTCTGTGTTGTCAAGAGCCTACTTGCTTCACCATGTCCAGCTTTGATGCTCATGGGTTCCTCACGGTGTGGAAAGCCTTTGGAGCACCACCAGCTATCACATCAGTAGGAAGGGAGAGGGGAGTGCCTGTTGTTTGTGAGAACACTTCCAGGAAGTGCTTCTACTTGCGTTGGTCTGAACTTACTCATTTGGTCATGCCAGCTGCAGTGCAGGCTGGGAAATGTAGTCTTTTAATATAGTTTTAGCCCAGGGGACCATGTACCTTCACAGAATGAGTGTTTCTGGCAGGGGTTTGGCGACGTGGTTGGGGTGCCACTGGGAATACCACATCCCATGTCGGAACGCATGGGTCCAAGTCCCAGCTGTTTATAATTGGCTTCATGCCCATGAAGCCATACTGGGAGGCAGCAGGTGGTGGCTCCAGCGCTTGGGGCCCTGCCACCTGCATGGGAGACCTGAATGAAGTTCTGAATTTCTGACTTCAGCCTGGCCCAGCCATAGCCATTGCAGGAATTTAGGGAGCCCATCAACAGATGTGGTCTCTGTCTCGTTGCCTTTCATATTGAATGAAGATGCTTAAACACCAAGTGAAAAGGGGAGTCTATGGGTGCAGGAGACAGGGATGCCAGGGAAGGGTGAGGATCAATTCCAAGTAGGAGACAAAGGCTGGGCACAGGTTGGTGGGGCAGGTTCAGCAGTGCTTGGGCCACTGCATCTGCGAGTGTTTGTGTGTGGTGGAGGATGGGGATGGGGGTGCAGTCAGAGGAAGAAGGCGGGGCTGGTTCCTTCGGCCCTGAAGTCTCTGCCCGGGTTCTGCAGGGCAAGGTGAGGAGGAATCAGAATGGAGCTTGGCTGACTGAGCCACATCCCTCCCAGCCAGGCACACTTTGAGGGGCTAGGGGTAGTACTTGTTACAGCAGGAAGGGGAATTAGACCTCTAGTCCATAGTGTAAGGACATGAGGTGGCGCTCACCCTACAAAGACCAAATGGGGCTTTATAGCTGGAGCAGGAAAGGGATGTCCGGTGACAAGGGTCAGGGGAGGGGCTTGGTCAGGTGTCAGGGGTGGAGGACAAGGATGTTCTGGCTACACAGGCTGCAGGTATTGGTGGTGAAAACCAAGGAGAAGCAGGCTCAGGGAGCCCAGCCATAGGGCAGCAGCCTGGGATGCTGTCCGCCCTCACATGGCGGCACATGAGACCCGCCCCAGAAGACCCACCAGGACCAGTACTGCCAGCTGTCCCACTGGCACCAGAAGGGCACAGCAGCAGAGCCCAGCCCTGCCCCTCAGTGACACAGGAGTGGCCCTGAAGTTACCTTTGAAACACTGGACCTTTCCTGAAGGGGAGGTCTGTGGAGCTGGCACATGGGCAGACGTGGCTCTGTTGTCAGTCCATCTCTCAAGGCATCCACCATGGGTGCACACCCAGTCCCCCAGGGACCCTGCCCCCAAGATCATTTGGGTGGGGGTGTGGACGCAGCTATTTCTCAAGCCTTCATGCTCCTACTCTATGCCTTGCCCCCAGGGATGGCCTTGTCTGAACTGAAGGGGTTCTGGTGGCCTCTGGGAGCTAGTGGAAGGGTGCGCAGACCGAGGCCTCTAGGCCTCTAGCCTAGAGCCTGCTCCTCCAGGAACTGCCCAGGAGCTGCAGCCTTGTCCCAGACCCCCCAAGTCAGGAACTGTACATCGACAGTACCCTCAAGGGGGCCGGCACAGGCTGGGGCCTGCTTCTGCCTTCCCATCTGCCTCTGTGCAGTGTTCCCTCCTGTCAGGTGTGAGGAGGACAGTCCCACCACCAGCATCCTAAGAGTCGCTGCAATGATTAAGCTCATCGGTGTGTGTTAAGGGCCTGGCACATGCTTGGTCCTGGTGCCCATCTGGGGGAAGTGAGGTCTGCAGCTCTGGCGCAGTCGGGAGGCGTCGGCTCAGCCCTGGCATTTTATGATCCCACTTTTATTTGCCAGTGACTCAGGCGTCCCAGCTTTCTGCCGGCCTCACTAAATCACCCAGCCCTTTGGGCCTCCTCTGGAAGAGCCTTGCCTGTGTCGCCACTGTACACCTGTCCTGCCCCCTCTTCTGTCTGCCCACCACCCCTGCCCAGTCCTTTTGGCCAAGAGTGAGAGCGAGTGGCTTGCCTTGTGAGCCCTTCCCAGCTTCAGGCACTTAGCATTCCAGACCTTGCTTCCATGCTTTATTGCCGCTCTCCAAGTGCTGGCAGGTGCGGATGTAGTACCTGCATCTGCCCGCAGCTCCTGGCTCTTGGCATCAGAGATGAGAGAGCTGTCGTCCCTCGATTCATGGGCCGGGCCAGGGAAGCAGGCGTGCTGAGGCCGTGCTGCCTGCCTTGTGGCTGCCGTTTTTCTTCTTCTTGCTCCTCCTGCCTGCCCTGCCATTCCCTCCAAGTCCCTCCCCATTCCTTCCTGGTCTGCCTCAGCAGGAGAGGTGCCTGTCTGCCTCTGTGTCCTGAGGCCTGCTTGGGAGGAGGAGGGGAGGGCCTCCCCACTTGCTGCCCTGCCCAAACAATAGTCTGTCTCCAGCTCCCACCTCCCCCACCCCGCTGGTACAGTGGTCCATCTCCAGCCCCCACCTGCCCCCCACACCTGTTCGTGTGGTGGTCTGGCTCCAGCTCCCACCTGCAGCTTAGTTGGCTGTGGGTCTAGGTGCCTGTGTCTGCATTTTCCTTTTAGTATTGTGTGGAACGGAGGAATTTGACAGGAATTTCGACCTAGTACAAATCCTTGCACAGCCTTGCTGCCCCCTCAATGTCACCTGGAAGTTCCCCTCCAGTCCCAGGCACATTCCACCTGCCTGGGCTAGATCTGGGGGTGGTTGGGTGGAATGGGTGGTCTCCATTCTCTGGAACAAAAACCTTAAGTAAACCTTCACCCGAAGTGCTCAGAGTGCATGAGGGAGAGCTGATGTGAAGAGGGGTGCAAGGGAAGCTGCCATGTGCCCCCTGCGGCCTGTACCCCCAATGCTGGCAGAGATATCAGCGACACACAGGGCAGATCAGGGACCATAATTTCCCAGACAAGAAGCTAGAGGCTCAGAAGGGTTTAGGGACCCTGCCCAAGGCCTCCCAGCTGGTAAGAGCCACAGAGAACTCCCTGGGGAATGTAGGAGAGGGTTGGCTGGAAATTCAGTCAAGTGCAGAGAGCACAGGGAGGGGTCATGCGGGGGCTAGGCCGCCCCACACCCCACATCTCCTGATGCTTCCTGTCCTCCTATAAGCAACCTCTCCTTGTCTGGCCTCCTGGTCTACCCTGAAATCCCAGCAGCCTGAGCTCTACGCTGTGGAGTTCTGGTTGCAACTTCCCGGCAGCCAGCATGGTCATCCCTTCCCTGCCCCCACATCTGTGTCTATGGTCCTCCACAGCTGTGAGGTTCTTGGCGGGATCTGTCCTGCAGTCTTGCCCTGGCCGACGCTGGCCAAGAGCAGTGGTGAGCCCAACAGGCCCCTATGTTGCCCGCTGCTCACTGTTTTCTGCTGCGAGCCCCAACCTTCCTCGAGGAGGCTTGTAGGTGGTGATCTTCAGTTCCACATGGTGTTGGCAGTGCCAGGGAACAACTGGTAGTCCACCACTGCATTGCCCATTCCCTGGCCACAAGGAGCGGACAGCTCCATCTTGTCAGTTAGCAGGAGCTAGAAGCCCCTCCCCACTGGGGCCACATTCTGACTTAGGGGCTGCATGTCTGGGTCCCAAGAGCTCATCGTGTGCTCAGCCACCCCCTACCCACCACCCCTGAGCTTGGGGATACCAAGCACTGTCCTCGGCATTCTGCCCACATTGTGTTGTTTAAACACACACCGCCCTCAGGAGGCAGAGCCACGTCTACAGTAAGTGGTGCCTCCCCACTGCCTCCCAAGCTGTTTGCTTCAGAGACCCAAGTGTAGCTCTCACACCATGCCGTCAGTGCCCCTGGCACTCTGGGATGGTGCCCAGCCTGGAGCCCAACATGGAGTAGTACAGCCTAAACATGTGTGACAACAGCAATGATGCGGCTGGGTGTGTGTGAGAGTGGTGTTCTATCATCCCAATCCAAGACAGGGACGGCTCTGCCAGGGCCTCCAAGAATTCTGATTCTCTGGCTCAGCTGGCAAAGACATGAGGGAAGGAAGCCAGGTGAGCCTCATTTGGCAAGCGGCAGCCTGGGACATCCCCCACCTTGTTGTCAGCCCTTCAGCCCTGTCTCTCGGCCTCCAAGAAGCATACTGGTATGCTGTGGGAGCTGTCCTTTTCACCAAGCTGGGCGTTCCAGTCCAGGGAGGAGGGACTTAAGGGAACCAGCATGACATGGCATGCAGAGGAGACTACAGGGCCATCGGCAGTGATCCCAAGTCCCTGGCCACCATCCATCCCTGACCCCTTGCGATCCAGCAGCTTCCTTCAACTGCAGAGTTTGTGTTGTCACCCCCATTTTCAAAGTGGGAAAACTGAGACTCACGATTTGACACTATAGACCAAGGTCACGTGCTAGCAAGTGACAGCACCCAGGTTTGGAGCCACTGGGGGTTGGCAGGGCGCAGGCCTGTAGGCAACAGGTGCTCTGACCTGTCCATCTGCCTGGGCATGCCTAGCCCTGGCAGCACACAGAACCACCTGCCTGACCACCCAGTTTTGATGTGTTCAGGCTGAGGAGGGGCCTGACCAGTCAGTTCAGCCCGACTAGACTCTGCACT